TAGTATAAGGATCTTATATTTAGAACATAAGGAGTACTTCTAATTAGTTATAAAAGCATTCTAACAACTAATTAACCAAATTTATTTAATTAATTATTCTTATTGAGAATAATTTTCATGTTTTACAATAAATAATTAATTTTAGCTAACTTTCTAATTTATATAAAATACTTAATTAGAGCTTATTTAGAAAAAGTAATAAATGCTTAACACGTAAGCTACATACGCGATTCGCGTGCGCACAAGGTTCCACAATGGCGGGATGGAAAACGACGTCGGTTGGTGGATGAGTGATGACGTGAGGATGGGGGGTGTTGGTTGAGGGAGAGATAAGGCAAAGTACGCTAATAAACGGCAATGCAGGAAACGGTTCAAGGGGCTAATGGGAGGATGACGGTGACGGAGTAGCGATAAGGCCGTGCGACGGAGTGACGGTTTTCATGTGGGGCCCATGATAGCGGTGGTTGATGTGGGCCGGGGGGAGGGGCCATTCAGGGTATTTAAATATCTGAAATTCTGGATTCCTTACTTAGGAAATCAGCGCTGCTTACAGTAACACCCCTCCTTGTTTTCCTATTTACGCATCAAGGCATTCTCCCATGTCACGTGGTCAAGTCAACAAAACAAAACAAAATATAATAATTAATTGTTAATCATTTTAGGCTAAATTTACATTTTATCTATTGAATTTATAAAATGTACTTTTGGTCCTTAATCTTACTATCATTTATCTCATTTAACAAACGATGTTGACTCAACAAATTTACAAGGTGATTAAGGAACAAAAATATTACTCTTACCGGTCCTTTTTATAAGGTTTCAAAAAGTTAAATTGATTTGATTCTTTTTAAAGACCTTGATAAGATGTGAATATTAGATACACTTTTACTAATTTTATTTCTAATTAATTTTTGTCTTTTTTTTTTTATCGTTTTTCTCATACTACATTCTTTTTCATCTTTTATCTTATTACTACTATTTTTCTGTTTTATTAACTCCTTTATTAAATAAGACATACTTTAAAAAAATAATTTTTTACATATTTATTACTTTTAACTATTTTCTCAAACAGTATAATTCAATTAAAAAATCTTATAAAAAGATGAAATTGAGTACCATGTAAACTGGTTTAGTTATCATTTCCGTTAAATGTGACTATTGTTATTAAGATTAAGGATTAAAAATACATTTTATAAACTTTAAGGGAAAAAATTAAAACTTAATTTAAATTTAGAGGACTAAACATTTATGTGGTCTTATTTTTATTGATCGTAATTAATCCTTCTTGGTTAAGAAATAATAGTAAAAAAATAAATATTATTGTGTGATAAGATATATTTTTCACTGAATTCCTTAATTTAATCGTATATTATTCTTGTAAATTAAAATGACCGCATATCATCATGTTATTTGTGTCCATTCATTGATGTCAGCTTGTTATGCTTTAAGAACATTACACTCTTTTGAAACATATATTAGAATTTAGAATGACAAACACTTTAATTTGAAAATAGTAAGTTCTTTTATATTTCTAGAAAAAAGAAAGAACAAACGATACAAGGCATGTGGGTCCCAACAGTAGTTTATTTCGAAATTTAAACTATTTACGTCAACAAAAAGAGAGACATGAGAAGATGAGGTTTAACTAATTAATTAGTTAAACATTTTCCCATTTCCCAGATAATTTATTTATTAATATGATGCGTGCATTTGAATTGAATGCACAAAAAGAGACATCTACTAAAGACACGTAACGGTATTATTCTCCCTTTGGCTTCAAAGTAAATCAAGAGTATAAATTCTCTTTTAAAAGAAAAAAAATGGAAAAACAATGAAAGTGAAAGGGGAAAAAGTCAAAGTTACATAACTTTTATTGTTCGTAATTTTTTCGAGCATTTTGTGAAATCATTTTTTAAATATTAGCTTACAAACCTATTCAAAAATATCAAATTAAGACCATCCTTTTGACTTTTCTTAAATTAAAAGTTATTGCAATTCGAAATATATAGGCCTTAGGAAAACGATTTAGACTTCGCTAGAAAAAAATTATGAAAGGAAAAAAAATACAAAATACCAACGGTAAGAAGTAAGATGTAGAATATATATAAAAGATAAAATGTAAAAAAAATTTCTATGGTAAACAAATGACCTAATCAAAAATTTCCATTTTACTATCTTTCGTATTATGCACGTCTGCTTGCATATGTTTTTAATTGAATAATTTTAGATCCTTTTTTTCCCAATTAGTTTGGTCATCAAGCCCTTAATTTATTTCCTTGTTTTTTTTTTTAAATACAAAGACAAGATCAAAACTTGAATACACCTAACATAAACTAAATACTACGTCCGCTCCTTAGTATAATAGCTACCTAATTAATTTAGAAAAATTAATTAAATTAGTTATTTATAATAAATAGGTGTAGTCTTTCCTATGATATCCTTACTAATCATGTATATTAACTAAAACTACAATTTGATATAACCATTAATATATGCAATTACTACTCAAACTATTTTTTTAAAAAATAAATAAATATGATAGACTAAATAAATTAAAGTCTTATATTTAAAATCAAATTAAATATTAAACTTTTTTTATATTAAAGACGGAAGATACTAACTAATAACAAAACATTAACAAAACACAAACAAGGCAAATTATCCTCGTAAAGTGTGTATTCTTTGCAACGTTCTGAAAATCTCGAGATCTTTGCCTAGAATCATAGATCTAATAAAAAGAATCCGTCTAAATTTCAAATTTTGTACTTTAATACTTGGTAATGTTTTATACCCCCCTCATAAAAAAGTATTTAAAAATGAATAATTTCACTCTTATCATTAGAAAAATTAATAATCAATAATAGTTTTCTAAAAACTAGAGTGACATTACAAAAAATAAACTTCCAAACGCACACGGCTGGTTTGCGAAATAACCTTAATCCGAAAGTAAATGGGGATTACCGAAGTCATGGAACATAACGCAACATGGAGATAATGGGCTTGTTTGGATTGACTTATAAGTAGCTTTTCAAACGTGATTTATGAAATACGAGGTAAGTATGTGAGGAGAGTTTTGTCTCGATTTATGTGAACTTGTTTAAAAGCTCATTTTGAACGGAGCTCCAAACAAGCCCATTATGGTGGAAAGAGGGGGGCATTGAGGCAGTGGGACCGTAGAGGAGAGTAAGTAATACTGCCAGATGGACTTGCCAGAAGCCTCTGACTATTGTACTCCAAATCTTCTCTTGCCTTGTGTTTGCCTTTTTGCGTTTCCTACAAGTGTTGCTTTTCAGTCCCGAAATGACTTATTAATATTTTTTTAATCATAACTTATGAAATATAAAATAAATATATGAAATTTTTTTGTCATTTTTAACTATTTTTTTATCCATTTGATTCAGTTTAAAGTTTTTTATTAAAAAAAAAAAAGAAGGAATGGAGGGGTACAACTTACCATCATTTTCACATTTACAATTTACTAATTACTAGTACTGTCAACGAGATTTACCACGTCCTGGAATTTACAATTTCGCATGCTTCGTACATTATCTTTTCTCGAAGTTTGAACTTCAATAAAAATATATCTAAAGTACGCCTCCCAAGGATGATCTGAATTTGATATCTCAAAAACTTAACTGGCAAGGGAAAAAAGAAATACAATTCTCCGTCCACTTACAAACTTAACAACTAAAAAAATGTTTTGGCAACCCTCACAAGTTTATTTTACAGATTATAAAAATATTTTTAAAATCATGATTTAATTTTTATCCAAACAGTTTTTAAACCTAAATACATTTATAGGACGGATGTTGAAGGAAGCTAGAGCTTATATTTGTAAGTTGACTATTTAAGAAGGGATTTCAGTTTCTACTCAAAAAACCTAAATGCATTTCAATAGTGTTATTTAAAAGAATTATAACAAGGTTTTAAAAAAAATATATCGAGGTTTAATATTCTAATCATGTTCTTTTATTAAAATTTTATTATAATTCTCTCTTTTACTTCTGCATACACGACAACTTTTTTATTTAATTAATTATTAACGTGAATAAATTATAAATACTGCTTGAATTTCATAAACACGAATTGTTGTTTAAATTATTTTTTTGAAATAGTTATTTTATTAATAATTCAGTAGATTGCAATAAACTTCAAGGTAGGCGGTGAACTAGTGGAGACGTTGGTCCAAATGTTAGTGATTTAAATCGGATCAATGTCGAGGTCAAATTAATTATGATTCAAATAATATAATTTAATCAAAATATATGAGACTATTTTTAAGAAAGAACCCAAGTCAAATATGATGAATTACTATTTTTTTCCTTAATAAAAGTCCAAACAATAAGGACATATAGAAAATATGAAATTCAATTCAATCAAATCATTCAAAAGTCTTAACAAGACATTCGCATGCATAATAATTATCAAAATTAACAATACCACTTCCTGTTTTTAATATAAGAGTTAGTTGACTAATTTGAATATATTAAAAAAATAATTAAATTAGTTATTTGTAATAAATATGTGTTGTCTTTTTTAAAATATCTTTACTAATCAACTATATTGACTAGAACTACTATTATTACAAGGACTATTTAAAAAAAAATAAATACGAAAGTTATATTTAAGACTAAAATAAAAATCAAATGAGTTCTTATATTAACGATTAGAACTAGCAGTTCACAAATTTTCTTTGTGGTAGAAAATAGTTGACAAATTTTTAAAAATAACCGTTAAAAACTAAAATATACTTGGATAATTCGCTGAACTTACAAAACTTGTGTGCCTCGCCATTTTCTCACTGTTGTTACTCCTTTCAGTGAAGCGTGTCCTTCACTTGGAATGTTGAAAACTCAAAAACTACTCCAAATTTGCGTCAATTTGGTGGTCCTTGTCCTTGTTTTTGGCTCCATAGTCCCATCTCCATTATTTCTTTCATTCTGTGCCATGGTGGTTCCCAGATGATGCAACCCGCAGTACAGCGAACTTCAAAGTACGGATAGCATTGCCGCGTCCAACCTTGATTTTCCTGCCAATTTATGGAACACCACAATAAAAATGGTGACCAGATGTTTTTCACTCTTTATCTCTTCCACTTCGGAAATTTCTTTGTTAGCGTTTTCGTTTTCTTGCTTTTTTTTGTTCAATGATTGACTCTGAAACATATCAATTATTCAGTTCCAGTTCGGTTCTCTGTTATTCAGTTTTGGAGGTGTTTTTGGTTGGCATAAGCGGTTCTTCGCTGGAAAATGCTAACGTGCTGATGATGATAGATTAATTATGGTGAGCGGAAAAAAGTAGTGCATTATTATATTCTCTGTTTCTTTGCTTTCTATTCAACTGTCTATGAGGAATGGCAGACAAGAAAGAAAAAGAAAGGTTTGGATCTTACTCCGGCCCCTTTTCTTTCTTGTTTTCTAGTCGCCAATGATGTTCTTGATCTTCCATAGCAGCGAAATGGCGGCTGCAAGTGAATTTAATTATATGTTTGTTTATACATATGTGTCACATTTTTGTGGTGCATTTTCTTCAGACGCTACGCGTCATTTTGCTTTTTTTAATCAGAGGTTCTTGGACTGTGCAGGGATTAAACCTAACGATTAACCTTCATTGACCCGGAAAGCTAAACGACCTCTTCCTGTTGTCATATCGCTGGTGATTAGATTGATTTCTGTCGAATATAGAAGATGTGGTGCTATTTCTGTATCGGAATCTTCGGCGGAGATTTCCTCTAGTGTTATCGAATGTAGAGCCAACTAGTTGGATCCAAATCACTCCCTGCTTTAACTTTTTGGAGCTCCTGCTTTTCGCATTATTTTGACTTGACAATTTGAAGGCACAAAAGGATCGCTGGTGACATAGACTGGGGGGTCTCCGTTGGTTTTGTACCGTTAAACAGTGCTTTGAATCTTCTTGAATTTCAGAGAGTTTGAAAAATATATTGCAATATAAGCTGGGAACTGTACCATCTTGCTTTCTGAGCCAAAAAAGTATATTATTCTTCAAGGATTTGAATCATTCGGCACTATTTGGACAAGTACTGAGGGATCCCTCTTGTTGGTGAGAGTAAAAGCAAGCTTCTAAGAAAATTGGCAGAGGGCGTACTTGCCATTGAGGAACAAAAAGTCTGAAATTAGTTAAAAGGGTGTTATCGATGGTTGCTCTGTTATTCCTGAATGAAATGTTAGCGAGTTGGTGGTAATATAGAAGAACTTGTCCTTCAGTTTATTCGTATCGTTTGACTTTTGAGCATGTAGGAACGAACATACGGGTTTGATGGTTGCTGAGTCTTGAGATTGAGATTTACTCCCCTGGAGGTGAGCGGTTGTTTTGGAATCAACAATGCCGATGAGTCGAGAACAAGAGAAGCGAGGAAAGCAGGAAAAAGGCTCTGATGTTGCTGAGAAGGTTATTGTTGCCGTTAAGGCATCAAAGGAAATTCCCAAGACTGCTCTGGTTTGGTCTTTGACTCATGTTGTTCAACCTGGGGATTGCATTACACTACTGGTAGTTGTTCCTTCACAAAGTTCAGGTAGTCTCTCTTCATTATGATTTATTCAGTGTATATTGAGAAATGATTTGTTCCTCCTCCTCCTCCTCCTCCTCTTTTATTTTTTGGTTCTTTCAAGGCAAGCATTTTAACGCTCTGCGAATGATGCTTGAAATATACCTGTCTTATATATCTACTTTTTAAAGTGGTCTACAGAATATGTAACTGATAATTACTCCGCAACTATTCAGGTAGAAGATTATGGGGTTTTCCGAGATTTGCTGGTGACTGTGCCAGTGGCCACAAGAAGTCTGCTCCAGCAACAACCTCAGAGCAGAAGTGTGATATTATCACCGATTCTTGCTCCCAGATGATCCTTCAGCTTCATGACGTCTATGACCCAAATAAGGTCAGTATATAGCCTTAATATTAGAAAGGCTAATGCATAATTGCACATTGATTCTTGATAATGCATCGTTGTTCCTATCGTTTTCAACAGAAAAATGTCAAGATTAAAATTGTCTCTGGATCTCCTTGTGGAGCAGTGGCTGCAGAGGCCAAGAAAGCCCATGTCAGTTGGGTCGTATTAGACAAGTAATAGTCTATCTTTTCTTTTTAACACAGAAAGGCATGACATTTTAACTATGAAACTTCAATGACGAAATCTTAGTTTCTGGTTTACTATTTTGTTGATCTGTGATCAACTGATTATAATTGCATCTGTATTGTTGGTATTTTGGTATCGCTTCTCTTGCAGACATCTCAAAAATGAAGAAAAACGTTGCATGGAAGAGTTACAATGCAACATTGTCGTTATGAAGCATTCCCAACCAAAAGTACTCCGCTTGAATTTGGTTGGCTCGCGCAAAAAGGATCCTGAAGAAGCAGGCCAAGTGTCTTCTGGGAAAGACGAGATGCATGGAAAGCAAACCAAAAAGAAGAATGATCGTTTGAATTCCATTAAAGGCCCAGTTGTCACTCCAACTAGCAGCCCAGAGTTGGGGACACCATTCACGGCAACTGAAGCAGGTACTTCATCGGTTTCAAGCTCTGATATAGGAACGTCACCATATTTCATCCCAGAGACAAATGGTGAATTGAAGAAAGAGGAAACAATCAAGGAAAATCAAGAACTTGATGATATTAATTCAGACACAGAGAGTGAAAATCTATCCACATCCTCAGCAAGCCTGAGATTCCAGCCATGGATCACAGAATTACTTCGACATCAACAATCATCTCAGCGCACAGGAGAAAGACCAGAGAAACCATACAATAAGCCTCATACGTCTACAACCAGAGCTTTGCTAGAAAAATTCTCGAAGCTTGACAGAGAAGCTGGAATTGATACTTCAGCCAGATGGACAACTGAGTTGGATTTCAGTGGAAATGTGAGAGACACAATAGCATTATCCAGAAATGCCCCTCCTGGACCCCCTCCATTATGTTCAATATGTCAACACAAAGCACCTGTTTTCGGAAAGCCTCCAAAGTGGTTCAGCTATGCTGAGTTGGAGCTTGCAACTGGCGGATTTTCACAAGCCAATTTCTTGGCAGAAGGGGGATTTGGATCTGTACATAGAGGGATTCTTCCAGACGGACAAGTCATTGCCGTCAAGCAGCATAAATTGGCCAGTTCTCAGGGTGATCACGAGTTTTGCTCAGAGGTTGAAGTCCTAAGCTGTGCTCAGCATCGAAATGTTGTGATGCTAATAGGGTTCTGTATAGAGGATAAGAGAAGGCTGCTGGTTTATGAGTATATATGCAATGGATCACTAGATTCTCATCTATATGGTAATTTCTTATGCTTATGCACTAAATGCTGTCTTGACTGAATTATACTCTTGACATTTGACTTATTGTGTTACAATAGTCCATGTAAAGTTTTTTTTTTTGGGGGTATGTTTGTCCAATTTCAATGCAGATTATTAGCTAATGGGAAACGGGTTTACACATGCTCTATATTTTGTGTTTCAAACTGTCAAGAGAAAACTCCTACGAGTATCAGGTGGATCTTAGGTGCACGTGTAACTCAAGAATTATGTTTTTTTGCGTTCGAAATCATTCAATCCGTAAGACTTGTTAGGCCTTGGATGGAGTAGGATTTAACTTGCTCTTAAAAGATAAAATCATGCTGGATATGTAAACATCATGATTTTATTAGGTTGAACACAAAAGTTATCAATTGTCTTTTTTGGCTATTTCAGGGCGACAGCAAAAGCCGTTAGAATGGTCAGCAAGACAGAAAATTGCAGTTGGAGCTGCCCGAGGGTTGCGATATCTCCATGAAGAGTGTAGAGTCGGTTGCATTATCCACCGTGATATGCGGCCAAACAACATCCTTATCACCCATGATTTTGAACCACTGGTACATATTACCTCCATTTACGGCTCAGTCCTGTAATTACAAAAGAAAGTCATCATAACCAGTATTTTCATCCCTGCCTAAAGTTGTTTTTCTTGTAAATCGTCATTTATCAGATAGTTTTAGAATCTTTAATACGTTAAGTCAATATAGAACAAATAGCATGAGATTTCAATGTTTCTTATACATTGTGTGCCTTGATGGGTGAATCCAAACATGATTGTTCTGTGATGAGTTCTGTTAGGTAGGTGATTTTGGGCTAGCAAGGTGGCAGCCTGACGGAGACACTGGTGTTGAAACTAGAGTAATTGGAACATTTGGGTAAGTGGTGCTTTTTAATGCTTAATTAGTTCGATGTTCTGGTCTGTGCTATTTAAGCAGTCAAGCTTTATTTTGGCTATGCAGGTATTTGGCTCCAGAATATGCTCAAAGTGGACAAATTACTGAAAAAGCTGATGTTTATTCCTTTGGAGTGGTATTAGTGGAACTTGTTACTGGACGAAAAGCTGTGGATCTTACTCGACCCAAGGGACAGCAGTGTCTTACTGAGTGGGTAAGTTAAAAGATACTAAGATAATATTATAATCTCTTAACTGTATTATTTTTGTTCTTCTAAGCCTTGAGTAATTCTGAACAATTGGATATTAAACAGGCACGCCCACTGTTGGAAGAATATGCCATAGAGGAACTGATTGATCCAAGGCTGGAAAATCGCTATTCAAGACATGAGGTCAATTGCATGCTGCATGCTGCATCATTGTGCATTCGCCGAGATCCTCATTCTCGACCGCGTATGTCACAGGTAAAGAGATTCCTCGGATAGATCTATTGTTGGACTTGGATTCAAAAACTTGCATTTATATATTGTTTAGAAGAACATAATCCAACAGTTGGGGGATAATTATTTAGTGTTAATAGGACGAGGATGAAAATAACCTGTGCAAAAATGTTAGTAAATGTCCCCCAAGAGATCAAAGGCTTCCATATCAACTCCGTGTCTGTGCAATCCGCTGTCTCTTACTATAATCATTATCTTACCACTTTCTATTCCCCAAATTGACCCACCATATGATGCAACTGACAAGGCCACTGTCTGACGGAAAATCAGGAATGCGTGTTATTAGATCAATTAAGGAATTATTCTCAAGTTAAATGCCCTTTGATGGGAAACACTTGTGTGATAATGATGTATTGATATCTTTAATGCCTAAATGTCTCTGTTTTTTTGGTATATGTTGTTCTACTCTGATGTCATGCACCATCTTCATTTTCTTATCGTAATCACATTGCCATACTCTTGCTTCTTTGTTTTAGGTTCTCCGAATATTGGACGGTGACATGATCATGGAAACAAATTACATTTCAAATTCCGGGTATGATGTGGGAAGTCGGAGCGGTCGAATCTGGGCAGGGCAGCACCATTTCAGTGGTCCATTGTTAGAAGAGTCGCTGGAATCGTTCAGTGGGAAGCTGTCCCTTGAGAAATACAGGACCTCCTCCCATTGGACAAGAGACAAGGTTAGGAGGACTGCACGTGAAGACATGTAAAGCGGTTCCCTACTCACATTGAGGGTGGTCTCTCTATCTCGATAGGCCCTCCTCCTTTGTAGTTATCTGTCTGTTTCTGTGGATTGTCATCTTTTTTTTTTTTTTGCATCTGTAAAGTAGAGGAAATGAAAAGGATAGATATATAAAGCCCCCCCCCCCTTTTTTCCCCTAATTCTTTCATGAAATTTAGCTTTGCCGCCTAAATGGCCTTGGTTCAGATCTGACTCTTGAAAGCTACTTATGGTCTTGAAGTGTCCAAATAGCTTCTTGTAATGAGCTCCACTCTGTGTGTGTGTGTGGAGTCAGTGTATGTGTGTGCAGGTGCTGAGAAGGAAACAAAGCCGGAGCTGGGACAGGTCATCTGAATTAGCAGACAAAGAGACAATGATAATGTGAAAGTCACAGCTGTCCATAAGCTTTAATGGAGAG